ATTCATGTTATGGGAGTGTAGAATGATGTATAGTCAAATCTCAAGAATACTCCAAAAGAAAGTGTTAAGAATGAATTTATAGTTAATATGTAAAGAAAAGAGTGACTACATGGCTATAGGCTAGCGCAAATGAGACAAGCTGCATTTACGCCTATAAAAATCAATGTCACTAAATGAAATTTCTAAGAGAGTATATTTATGCTAAACGATGATAAAGCAAAGAAAGAGTGGCCACGTGAGGATATGCTAGTACAAGTGAGACAAGTTGTATCTACGCCTAAAATCAATGTCCCTCAATGTAAATTTCAAGAGAGCATATGTATATTATACGATGAGCAAATAATGAAAGGTGACAAGATGAAATGAAAAGATGTTAAGAAAGAACAGGGTGGCATGCCAATATAATGTCACCAAAAGTACTCACTTAAGAGAGTGTAGAATATTAAGAGACAAGTCTCAATCACATTCTACATGTAAGTGTAAGGACAATTCACACTTAATACGAAATGATGAGATAAGAAATCATCTAATGAGCTATGATATCCTCAAGCTAGAAACCAACTTCTATTATGTGTGAGATGAATGTAATGAAACTTTATACTGCGCACCAATAGGCTAGCTATGAGTAGCAATTCATTCTATTGGAAAGGCAGATGTTCGTGTAATTCTCATGAGATGAGACTGTCCGTCCAGACGGGTATGAGTCTCCCTAAATCTCCTAGTCTTTGAACTATGCTGCCAACATAAGAACTAGTCAGTGGTTTCCACCTACGCGAGCTAGGTATGTTCTTGGTTTCACCTTGGCCAGTGACTCCATCTCTTTTCGGTGTAGGGAAGACACCAGATTTCATGATGCTCACATGATCTATGTCGTTTAAAGTTGAAGTTACTCAAAGTATGAAAGTTAATGAAATGAATGATACCAAAGGTGTTTGGATAGGATAATCAAGAGGTGAACTAGACTCTCAAGTAATGACACTAGGTCATTCTTGGTCATTGCACAGTAAACCTGATGAAAGTCTTAAATTACATCCTAGGTATAGTTGGTGTTTGTACTAGCCTATGAATGAAAGAAAGTGAAGTACGTATGAATGAATGAAGCAGACTCTATGTTTGCTAAAGAAGGCTTCCTAGTTGAGGTCCCATATGTTGAGAACTCATTGGTAAGTCCTAATGTTAAGTCCGTGATTCCAAGGTCACATGGCATATGAACGAACCAACTAAAATATGATATGTGTTATATGGAATATGTTATGTGTTATATGCAATATGGTATGTGCTTTGTGCAATATGATACGTATGATGATGCATGTTACTCTCATGGCATGACTTTTCTAATCGATTTTGGCAAGTCCACTGACTTGACTTTCCATAACTCATATCATTCGGAGAGAGTTATTCTAAATCACACATGACTGTGGTGTGTGCTTGCATATACCCATACTTAATACAAGTGTGTACTAATACCATACAACTCTTTACTTTTAGGTGCAGGCACATGTGGATGATAGAATTTACTAGACGACGCTGAAGTTATCTGGTCGTGGAGCATTCATCCAGACTTGGTAGGCCCTCATGTTTTTGAGGACGCTTGCCCGTTATATTCTATATTAGATGTAGGCATGAGTTAGTGGAGAATGTTCCACTAGCGTTTCTTTCTCAATTACTTTCAGAAATTGTATTGGTGCCACTCTGGCAACTTTATATTTTATCAGATATGACTATTTCATTCAGTTGAGTATCTTGGTATTAGATGGTTGTTGTGAACGATTATGAACAAATGTAGATAAATCTTATATGAGTATAATGTATCCTACTCTGAAGTCTATGTATACTTCAAGTAACTAAAAGTTTTAAATTTTCCACTAAAATTAATCTAGATGATGTAACGATGACGTATGCAGGCTTGTCTGTGACCTCTAAGATATCAACGACGCCTGTCTCGTCTTGGATCTAGATTCTAGTTGAGACAAATTGTGTCATTATTTAGTCACAATTCGTAACACTGTAAATCACCAAATAAGCATTAAGATTATTACTCATAAACTAAATAAAATTAGATCTTCTTTAATCTATTTACTCTAATTAAATTATGAAGAATTTAAACTTCACCCAATTTTGGAACTCCACCATATAAATCAATCAATTTGAGAATCTTCGATTTCAAATGATTTAAAATAATTAGTTTTAAAGATTTTAAGAAAAATATAAAGTTTGCACGTTATTTTAAATAGTTTTGTCACTTTTTATAATTTTTAGATAATATATATGTATTTACATAATTATGTATATAATTAGTATATTCATGAATATTTGAAAATTGTAAAAAAGATTTTAGTTTTAGTTAAAATTTTGTCAATTAGTCTACTTATATAATAGTTTACATTTTTAATTTATTGAGTTTGTAATTAAGTTAATTAATTTATTTTGTTATCATC